TACGCGCGAGTTACTAGAGTGACTCCTCGGGATTTCGCCCATACAATATTCTTTATTTAACGAAGGTGACGTAATAACCCAATGAGTTATCTAACTTACGGCCTTCATAACAATACAAAATATAAAAACATATAAAAACAATGCCTAATCAGTATTATTATATGGCTGAGTCTGTTTTCGCCATACGATTGGTCAATTTGCGGTCCGTAGCTTGCTATACGGACCAAAATTTTTAAAGAAAATGTTCATTTCGGAGCTCTAAATCTCTTTACCTCAGAAAAAATGTCTAAATAAAGTTATAAGACGCCTGTCAACCTTGAAGACTTGGATGTTGACTTTGGCCTTCAACATTTTAGACTGTGTTTATTTGTGAACGAAGGCGATGAAGAAACTAACTCATAATCTTACTGAAGAGGATTCTAGTCAGTGTTTGAAAATTTTATCGCAGTACACAGTTAAGGAGAAGAAAATCGACTGGCAGAGATTCGAGATGTTTTGCCTATTAAAAAGAGAAAATGAGTAATTCGTTCGACAAATAAGAGAACAAACATACCTGCACCCGATCATCTTGACTTCTTTGCCATTTGCAGTGTTTTTTCAAAGACCAACGAAAGAAAGAGAGAAGCAAGTTCGAGCCAGACACAATGTCCAGTTTTCAAAACATTAACGAGCGAATACTTACAGTGCTCTTGGTTTTTACAGAATAAAGTTTAAAATATGTCTGTAACCCTGAGGACTAGGATGTTGACTTTCCCTTTCCAAATTTTAACCTAGCTTTTAATGAGAACGAAGCTGACGTAGAAACTGAATCGTAACCTCACCGAGGAAGAGAATCAGTGTTTGAAAATTTTAACGCAGATCGCAATTGAAGACGAGAATGAACTGGCAGAAAGAGAGGTTTTTGCAAAAACAATTAACAAGCGAATCCTTCTACAATGACAACAAACTTACCATGAAAGGCTTCTTTGCCTTTTGCATTGTTTTGTTTACAAGGACAAACGGAGGAAAGACGGAAACGACTTCTAGACAGACAGTGTCCGGTTTCCAAAATACTCCAGCGTTACATTAAAGAGCTAAAACTTACAGTGCTCTTAGTTTTCACCGAATAAACTTTTTCAACATGGCGAATTTGTTTTTACTTTCTCGGAAAGGCTTTGTTATGTGCTATTGTTTTCATGCGCCAATAAATACTTTCTTTTTTGATGTCTGTCAAATGACTGTCAAATCGTGCGTCCTGCACTTGTTTCCGGTCCCCCAAACAGGAAGAAGCCATGTAATAAACATGTTATTAGCCTCGTTTTTTGTGTCCGTACTGTAAATTACAGATCCTGGTTTTTTTCCATCGCGCTTCGCGCTTGGGCCATAAATCGATGGAAAAAAACTCAGTCCGTAATTTACAGTACGGACCGAAAACTCGGCTAATAAGAGGTATATATACGACTACAACAAGAAAAAAAATAGAACTA